TAGCATTCTATAGACAATGAGACATGGACCCAAATAGCAAAACATTGGTTATACCTGAGAGTGTGTGTGAGTGTGAAAATGTGTGTTTGTATGAGTGTGTGAGTGCAGTGTGTGAGTATGTGTCTATGAGTGTGTCTGTGTATGTATGTGTGTATTGGTATGTATATGTTTGTGAGTGTATCTGTGGGAGAGATTGTATGTGAGGGTGTATAAATGTGTGTGAATGTGAGGTATAACTTTGTGTGTGAGTGTGCGTGTGTATCAGTTTATGTGTATGCGTGCATGTGTTAACACCAATCCCCTAGCCCAGGGGTCTCCAAACTTTTCAGCCCGAGGGTCGCATTAAATATAAAATATCAGTTCTGGGGCCAGAGTTTCTTCTAGGAATTTCTTTGAGTTGGCGAATCCCCCCCCCCCCCTCAAAGAACGTCTACCCCCCCCCCCCCCCACCCCCCAACGAAGTATAATTTATATAGAAATATATACACATTTCTGAAAAAAAAAACCCGCTGTCGGGTGCCGACAACACACTCGAGGTCCAAGTTTGTTCTCAAATCGTTGTTCACGTATTTCATTCTTGAAAATGTTGTTCCGAAATTTGAAAGGTACTTTGATGCAAAAGTTTTACTATTAGGAAAGTCTTCCTTTGGCAAAAACTTATAAAAACCCACCCGCCCTTCTTTAAACGTGTCTCTGAGGATGTCATTTGCTTGCAATCATCTGACAAGTTGTTGGCCTGTACATGTTCCAACAACATGACCCGTTTGGATCTGAAGGCCTTTATGTGGGTGTCTAGAACAGAATCTAGATTGTACTTTCCTTGTAGTTTTAGGTTCAGAAATTTTAAATGACTAGTTATGACTGCAGCAAAGGTCTATTTCCCGCTCAGATGGAAAAAATGCGATACGAACTGTCGGTCGCGGACATGAAGCAAATCTCAGTTCATGGCGGAGTTTTCTGAATGTCTGGCGGGCCACTAAATCTCTGTGGCGGGCCGCATATGGCCCGCGGGCCGCACTTTGCCCACCCCTGATCTAGATCTTATCTAGATTTCTAGCTTCCAGATTCTAAGTTTTAAGTGAGGCTAATATAATAATATTTAATCTAGTCATTCTAGATCTAGATATAAATTCTAGATCTAATATTAACCTGTAAGTTTATAACCACTATAAGGTTTAATGCTGAAATTACTGCTTTAATGTTACCTACTTTAAGTCCCTGAGAATAGTCGGCCATTATAGATCTACTGCAGATATTGACCATTCGCCCTCCGCGCGATGGCTGAATTTGTTATTCGACACTAAGATAAGACACACAAAGTAAACCGCACTTTCTTTAATGTTTGCTGCGTTTTACACTGGTGCCGAACGGTGCGTTCGTAGATTACACAAAGCAAAGTGGCGGTCATTAAAACTGACATGGACATAAATAAAGCACAATTAGTAGTGATTGGGAGTAGTATGGAATGATTTAATCAGGAGTAATGTCTACACATTTAGTCAGCGGTAGTTGTACTATTTTAGTAAGGAGTAGTGTACTTAGTTAAGAATAGAGTATTATATCTGTTGTTTTTTTTTTAATATATAACTCGCGTGCCCGTCCCGCGTGTTGAGGAAGAAAGGCTGACGCAAAGATTCTAATAGAAGCTTTTGCACGTGGTGGCAAGACAGACAGAACCCCATGAGGTCAAGCTCCACTTAAACAACATTTTTTGTACTAATTAATTAACCCGTAATTAACCCGCTTTTATTTTTGTAGATAATATTACTCCTACTTACTAAACCTGCACGCATTTATTTTTGTGTACTGAAGGGTTACCAAGTGTACAGTAAAGTAAATAGCTATCACAAGATGAGGATACAAATAATTAACGTCTAACGTTTGCTATCTTAAAACCCATCGTATCAAGAAAGGTTTTTAAACAGTTAGCTAAGTTCGTGTACCCTCCTGTCCACTTAATGATCATAGCTTTTGAGTATTGTGGGGCGCCGTACCCTACTTGACCTGGCTGTGGGGCGCCGTACCCTACTTGACCTGGCTGTGGGGCGCCGTACCCTGCTTGACCTGACTGTGGGGCGCCGTACGCTGGTAACATGTACCACTTCAGTGGTAAGATGGCCCCTGTCTACTTAAGTGGTAAGATGGCCCCTGTCTACAACAGTGGTAAGATGGGCCCTGTCTACAACAGTGGTAAGATGGCCCCTGTCTACAACAGTGGTAAGATGGCCCCTGTCTACAACAGTGGTAAGATGGCCTCTGTCTACAACAGTCGTAAGATGGCCCCTGTCTACTACAGTGGTAATATGGGCCCTGTCTACAACAGTGGTAAGATGGCCCCTGTCCACTTCAGTGGTAAGATGGCCCCTGTCTACTACAGTGGTAAGATGGCCCCTGTCTACTACAGTGGTAATATGGGCCCTGTCTACTACAGTGGTAAGATGGCCCCTGTCTACTACAGTGGTAATATGGGCCCTGTCTACTACAGTGGTAAGATGGCCCCTGTCTACTACAGTGGTACGATGGCCCCTGTCCACTACAGTGGTAAGATGGCCCTTGTCCACTTCAGTGGTAAGATGGCCCCTGTCCACTACAGTGGTAAGATGGCCCCTGTCTACTACAGTGGTAAGATGGCCCCTGTCCACTACAGTGGTAAGATGTTATGTCCACTTCAGTGATAAGATGGTATGTCCACTTCAGTGGTAAGATGGCCCTTGTCCACTTCAGTGGTAATATGGCTCCTATCCGGGAAGATAATTTCAACTACTTGGCCAGATAACTAAACACAGATAACAGACAGGAAATGGCTTACCACAAACCCAAACTGCATAATGGAAAGCTTACCGTAGGTTTATAGTTCTTTCATTCATGAGAATTATAATCATTGACAAGGGATTTATCATAGGGAAAGCCGAGTCAGACAGCAACAATAATCCCTGGGGAGAACAAACAAAACAAATGACAATTTCCAGAACATTTTAGAAGCTTATGTGTGAGGATAGTTTTACACATTTCACATGAAATGATTTCCAATATTCTTCTCCTTCTTTGTTCTTAATTTTTAGTGTTGGAAGAGATCGAGCCTTATCTGCCAGAGGATTTGAACTCGAGACTTTTTTTCTTATTTATCAACCATGAGCTTTTTCCAACTCGACCACGCCTCCATCACAATGAAGGATATGTGTCAACATATCCTTCATTGACTCCGCCATTGACTCCGATTTCAGTCTGCTTTTGTTTTTGGATTTGCTTCCAGTAGCGTAGCCAGGATCGTCTCAGGGGGGGGGGGGGAGGGGATTCAAATTTTTTCCAGCATTATATATATAGCACCCCCCCCCCCTCAAACTTTCGATTTGCAACCCCCCCCCCCCCTCAAACTTTGATTTGCACCCCCCCCCCCAAACTTCGATTTGCACTCCTCCTCTCAAACTATATATATATATATATATATATATATATATATATATATATATATATATATATATATATATATATATACTGAGGGGTCTATGGGTGGGTTTAAAACCCCTACCCCCCACCCCCCTGCCTACGCGACTGTTTGCTTCCATAGCCTTTGTCCTACCAAGAACAAACTACCAGGCAGCAGTTGTTTAATTTTGGAGTTGTCTCTCCTAGAAGAGTGGCTGTCCCCAGCTAACGAACCTCATCTGCCCGAGATGACTTCCAATGACTTTGCCAGAAATGACCATTTGTACTGACATCTTATAAAATAACCGCTGCAACAGACCTTACATAAAGCGACATTCGTTTATTTAACTTTCATAAATTAATGACCACTGCCATTGACCTGCCATGAAATGACTTAACTGTTACGGGTCAGTTGTAGGTTAGAAATAGGCTACAATAGTCTAGATCATTAAAGAGAGTGCGTGTGTGAGTTGAATTCACCCTAGTGTGTAGTTAACCCCGGTGTGTTTATGTTTTGTTATCCCAAGGTCGAATGAGGTAAAAACACAGTGGCAGTTAGTTGGTAGCGGCTAGGCTAGAGGGTGTGTTGTGTAAAGATAAAAAGGACAGGCGAATTAAAGGTTGAACATTTGCCTACAAACGTTTTTGGGTCGGCCGTCTCAACTGGTGGCCAGTACTATACAGGTAGAGCTATCACCATCACAGGACGTCACCGTCACAGGACGTCACCAACACAGGACGTCACCATAACAGGACGTCACCAACACAGGACGTCACCATCACAGGACGTCACCAACACAGGACGTCACCATCACAGGACGTCACCAACACAGGACGTCACCATCACAGGACGTCACCAACACAGGACGTCACCATCACAGGACGTCACCATCACAGGACGTCACCAACACAGGACGTTTCACAGAACGTCACCTTCACAAGATGTCACCATCACAAGACGTCACCATCACAGGACGTCACCATCACAGGACGTCACCAAAACAGGACGTTTCACAGGACGTCACCACCACAAGACATCACCATCACAGGACGTCACCATCACAGGACGTCACCATCACAGGACGTCACCATCACAGGACGTCACCAACACAGGACGTCACCGTCACATGACGTCACCATCACAGGACGTCACCATCACAGGACTTTACCGGTACAGGACCTTGTCTTCATATGACTCGGACATTACAGGATTTACCACTGTCTCCGCAGGGATATATGAGGAAAGGGATAACTACAACAGCTTTGGACTCGTTGAGGTAAGTGTTTTTGAATTAGTTTCTTGCACGGTACTCACAACATGGTGTTCCCCTTTGTCTATCACTGTATTGGGCTATACAATTTTGGTAATTCTATATTTGACAGTAAATGTCCCGAACATTGTCCGCTCGTCACACCAGTTATCTTAAGGCTACAGAAAATGTCCCGGAAATTATTTTAACAATAAGCACTCAAATACTCTAATGTTAGAAACTTTTTCCTTAGCTGTTCAAGCGATGCTTGCCAAAAACCATTTCATATAGATTTGTTTTTCTATATGGACCAACGCTTTTATTAATAGAGCTATACTAGATGTACCTTGGTTTTCTCATTTTTTAGCGAATTAAAAATGTTGTGTATGGTTTTTTATTATCTTTCTTCAATACAACAAACAGTGGTACAATCTACAATAGACACATCAGTAGTGCCGATATAATTTTAATTGATTATTGCCTATCACAATATTCACAAGCGTTAGACAACGGTTGAATTCATGTCATATCTCTCCCCTAGCGGCGGCACCTCTAGTAGTTTAATTTCAACCTTGGGAGGTTCTGGGCTAGTCGGCTTGTCGCTGGGCCCTGCTCTCGCCACAGAACTCCCAGTTTTTGTTACTTGTTTGTCCGGCCCCGGGCTGGCGTTAGGGATCTCGTCCCAGCGCACGTCTACATTCTTGCCGACCACGTCCTCAAACTTTCCAGTCAGCGTGAAGACATACAGGTCCTCGTTGCTCAAGTATTTGATCAGACTTCGAGCGCTGGAGTAAGCGTTGGCCATATCGTTCCACAGCCAAGGAAGAGAGTTTGTGTCGCTCTCTCGCTTCAGTGCCGTGTAGAAGGGCGTGGAGGAATCTCCGAATCTGTAGTTAAAAGTGGGTCTATCCCCGCTTCCTCGGTATTTGTAGTGGTAGTTAGTGCCGGGATGGCTGGCCCCGCCTCCCCATCGAAGGAACCCTTGTAGCTCCGTGCTGAACTTGGTGAGTATAGTGGCGGTGTAAGGGACGGTGGTTCTCGTTTTAGACAAGATGAGGTCCCACTTGACAGCGCTGTACGGCTTGAGAACCTTGCTTGTGGTGACGGAGAAAGTGCTGCTCTGCTCCTTCTTGGTTTCATCTGTGGTAGAGGAGGACGTTTCGTAGTTGAAGGTGTACGTGACCCCGGCGCTCATGCCCCCGATGGCGGGGGGTGTGTACCCCACGGTGATGCCCAGCTCGTGGCTGTCTTTCCATTCGCTGGTTGTCGTGTGGGTGACGCTGCGGGTCACCGTCTGCTCGCGGGTGATGGTCTTGGTGGCTTCCGTCGCGTCGTTGTTGTGCATGGTGCCGCTGTCGATAGACTCCGGCGTCAGCTCCTCTATGACAGGTTTCCCGAATTTGATTTCCTTCACCTCAAACCCCCAGTCCTTGTAGTCCATGGCGAGCCTTTGGTCACTCATGTACCCATCACATGTACCGGTTTTATCAGAGACCCACTTGTTGCCCTGACGGTTGAAAGCCTCGCCCACATACGGCGCCAGACACCCGGCACACCAGCCGTACCCCAGCATGTTTGCGAGGTTTGCAATGCTCGACATGGACAGGTCCATGACTAGGTTCTTCACCTTGTACGTCTCGTCCAGGACTTCACGTCCTTTGGCCATCTGGCAACAGCGGAGTGTCTCGAGACAGTGCAGCTGTTCACAGCTCGACTTGTAGAGCCCGGTGACGTAGTACCCATCTTTACACTGACACAGATTCATGTCGTCGAAACACGACATCACGTCTTGGTCGTAGCATTGTCCGTAGTAGGACGGATGGTCGCTGGGCTTAGAGCACCTGGCGTACTCAATGCTACGAAGTCCGGCATTGTTCCCGCCACTCCTGTACAGGCCATTCAGAAAGAAGCCGTTGGGGCAGGTCGCCCAGGTGTTGGTGCCGTCCAGAACGTACAGCCAATCAGCGTACGAGATCTGCGTGCTGGAGCCCGACCAGGGGGAGGGGGGGCTGCAGCACATAGCCTTCTCCAGCAGGGCGATGTCGTCACGCCCGTCCCGGGGGTAGTTCCTGTAGAACCCCTGGATCACGTTGTTGTAACTGTCACATTTCGAGAGATCCCCATTGTCGAAACTCTGGCTCCAGTCGGAGTACTTGCAGCTGGACACAGCCGTCACAGCTACAGCCAACAGCTGCAGCAGCTGTAGTCTGTTCATTTTATATCTTGTCAAATCTGAAAATACAGTGTCATTGGATAACATCTAAGTAAAGTACAAGGGATTCTTTAGAACAACATTTTCTTCTGGTTTCAAAGATTTTGTGACTTATTCAATGCCTCTCTCAAATTATCTGTTCGAAATTTATCACAAACTGAGATAACTGTTTGTTAATAAGAATTGAAAGTAAGAAATTTTTTCGCAGCAAAAAAAAAAAAAAAAAAAAAACCAAAACAAAAAAACCCACAAACAACTAATGATCAGCCACTCAAGATTTCTCTTGAATTTAAGCCTTAGCCAGAAAACTGAAATAAATGAAACAGTAAAGGGATCCTAGAGAAGTGAAGAAAATATTTATAAACAGGTAATACCATGTTAATTATTAGCATTATGTATAAATGCCATGAATAAATAAACCGGGAGTGATCTCCCCTAAACTTTCTCGAATATTCTATTAATATTCTACCAAATATATCAGTCTGCGTACAAGATAATTGCTGAAAATAAGGAAAGTAAAATTATTTAACGTCAATTAATATTATACTGCTGACTACACCTCCCCCCTTTCCCCTTCCTACCCATTGTAGTTACGGTGACACTGTAGTGTCAAACCGCAGCTGTACAAGTTTAATGTTACAAAAAAAAAAAATAAACATTACAAAGACAAATAAAAATTTCGCATTTTAATTTATTTTTAGTGGTCCATGCCCCCAAACCATCTACCGTTTAGTTGAGTGTTGCGGTACTAAACTGTACAGTAATTATTTACCACTGTCTAAAGATCGTCTAAACACGTAGATTACAAATCCATTTGACTTTAATGCATACAATCAAAATTATTTATGAAAATGGATATTATGAACTACAGTACTAATTGAATGCATTATCATATTGTACAAAAATATTTCTAAAATAATTACCTGACTTTTGAACGAAACCAAGTCGGAGAGTGTGAGGGTGGAGATTTTTAAGAAGGCGGAACGAATGAATCCAATAACACACAGTTCAAGTTCAACTATAATTGTTCTTTATTAAAATGATATATATGTTCAAGTTTCTACCTAACTGATCTACACTGTACTATTTACTTCTGCTACTGACTGTTCACTATAATACTAACTACGCACTCCCATGATCAATCCTAACACTAACTGTTCTCTACATTCTACAACCTAACACCTTCTGCCCTCGCTAGCTAATCATGATCTAACTATCTACATTCTCGGCCGTCTCTGACCGCTACGACCTAACAACCCCTGGCCTATCGCTCTACTGACCCACGCCTCAGTGGTCAGCTGACCGTCCCACGTGACCGGTCAGTCCTGTGCGCCCATTGGCCTCTCTAACCAACCAACTAGGCCTATAGTTTGTTTCTGCTAACCTATATCTGCTAAACATGTCTGACGTAATCTTGCGTCATCACATATCTCCCTCCCTTTCTGTAGCTGACAAATTATATTTTTCAGCGTCTGCTACTAATCTAATACATCAACAACTATCTATCTTACTACTCTATTCTATCCCTAACATCAATCATGTAAATCAAATACAAAATGGGACAGCACAGTTTACAAAAACATAAAATCTTCTGTCTGTGTTCTTGGAAAGGAATGTCATTGTTCTAGTTCTTGTACGGTATCCTGACGTCTGTGGTGTCTCTGCTTGATAATGTATGTCTATGTTATGTTATGTGTGAATTCAATCATGTGTAACTCAGTTCTGGCTAGGTTGTCGTGTACTGGCCTTGAGCTAATCTTAGTAGAATGTGTAACTGGTTGAACGGGCTCTGCGAGCAGTGTAAGTGTTATGTAACTGTTGGCGTTCCTCTGTGGTGGGTGGGTTGTGGCGAGTTTTGATGTAAATTCCCGTGAGGCGGGTGTAGGCGTAACTTTCGTTGGTCAATGTGATGACGCAACAAGCTCATCTCAACGCTGGTTGAGACGTCCACGCTGGTTGAGATGTCCACGTAGAGTGGTTATAAGATGAACTGGAGCTGTCTGATGCGATGCGAACAATGACGTAACATTCCGCCGCTGGGAACTTGGACGATGGGTCTTCTACCCTTTGTATCTGCCGACGTAGGTTAACGTTGCTGGCGGTCTGTTATTCAACTCCAGTGCGGGTGCGAAGCGGTGGCGATGCGTCCGCTGTCTTGACCAGGGCAACTCTCTGTTCCGCAAGGCTGTTTGCTGTCCAGGTAATTCAACGTAATCAGGGCTTCAGGTGGCGGCACTCTTTGAAGTGTCTGCTTCTCATCTGGTCTCTTTCTGAATAAGCGTAGTGGGTCTGAAAATTGTATTACGAGACCATGAGCAATGGCTTTACGTGACCATTTGATTGCCCGCGCAGACAAGTATTCAGACAGAGGTACCTTCCATTAAAAAAAACCTCAATCCCAAATTTATACGTGCTGAACATTTGTCTGGCGGTACATACAGCATACAAAAATAACATTACAAAAATAACCAAATAAAAAAATCAGTACACTCTAATCTAACAACAATCCGTAAAGCCTAATAAACTCAATAGACGTAAACACTACTAGAGCTTAGAAATAGCTTCATAAAAAGAATAGACATGTAAGTGTATATCAATAATATAGTGCCATTTCAAATCAATATTTGAACACGTAATCATATAGTGGAGCAGCTCTCACTATCTGACTTCTGACTTGACTTAAACTGGCTGGTTGACTTAATGACTGACTTCACTTATGACTTCAGTAACTTGACTTATTTCACTTTAACTGACTTCAGTAATTTCACTTATTTCACTTTGACTTCAGTAACGTGACTGACTTCAATTTAACGACTGATTCCACTTTGACGACTAACGTCACCTTGACGACTAACTTCACTTTGAAGACTAACTTGACCTCGACGACTTCACTTCAATTCAACTTAAAAGACTTCACTGACCGACTTAAACTTCGACGACTTAAACGTCTTCACTTTGACTTCAAAGACTTTTCCTTGACTTCAACGACTTCAATATGACTTCAAAGACTTCACTTTGACTTCAACAACTTCAATATGACTTCAAAGACTTCACTTTGACTTCAACAACTTAAATATGACTTCAAAGACTTCACTTTGACTTCAACAACTTCAATATGACTTCAAAGACTTCACTTTGACTTCAACAATTTCAATATGACTTCAAAGACTTTAACTTTGACTTCAAAGATTTCAACGACATCACTTTGATTTCAAAGACTTCACTATAACTTCGACGATTTCACTTCTTCACTATGACCTCAACGACTTTATAACTTCAAAGACTTTTCTTTGACTGCAACATGACTACGTCACTATGACCTCAACTACAACTTCAATAACTTATTGACTGACTTAACTGACTTCAAATAACTTCTTTGACTTCAGTTCTGACTTATACTTCACTGACTTCAATAACACTATTGACTTCAGTTTGACTACTCTGACTTCTGACTGTATGACTTCACGTCGATTTCTTCGACTACTTAGATTAACTAAAAAAAAACTCGACTTGACTTCACTTTTGTCCGTTGTTCAAAATCATTTATGGGGAAGGTCCGGGTCACATTCTTGATCATGGGGTTGATGTTCTAGGGCAGTTGCGTGTTATCTATGTGCTGTACTTCCAGTTTCACTAATTCTAACGCTAACTCTGCTTTTGTTCTTGACATGTCTTACTATCTTGACTATCTTGTTTTCTAACTTATTCTCTACAAATGTTTCAACTTCTTCTCCTGTTTTGTCTAATGGTATGCCTTGTTTATAGCACTGAACTCTGCCTCCATGGTTGTGTATGTGTATGTGTGTTGAGGAAAGTAACAAAACTAAGGCAACAGGGCGTAACATAAGAATGTGTGAGGCAGAAAAACCGCTGGTACAAGCTATCCAGCACGGTCCAAACCCAAACGTTTAAAAAAAATTTGGAAGGTACTTATCTTTGTGAACATGGTGACTGTTCCCTTGTGTTGGTAATCCAAACTCGGTCCGGCTGAAGAAACCCGCTGTTGTGATGAGTTTAAGGAAGCTGTACGCCAGATGTACTCCGTCATGAGTAACCCGATATACCCAGTCTTTCCTGTACTCGACCCGCGCTCCACCAGTTGTGAGGGTGGGGGGTTTTATGAGAGGCCGGAACGAGTGAATCCAATAACACACAGTTCAAGTTCAACTATAATTGTTCTTTATTAAAATGATATATATGTTCAAGTTTCTACCTAACTGATCTACACTGTACTATTTACTTCTGCTACTGACTGTTCACTATAATACTAACTACGCACTCCCATGATCAATCCTAACACTAACTGTTCTCTACATTCTACAACCTAACACCTTCTGCCCTCGCTAGCTAATCATGATCTAACTATCTACATTCTCGGCCGTCTCTGACCGCTACGACCTAACAACCCCTGGCCTATCGCTCTACTGACCCACGCCTCAGTGGTCAGCTGACCGTCCCACGTGACCGGTCAGTCCTGTGCGCCCATTGGCCTCTCTAACCAACCAACTAGGCCTATAGTTTGTTTCTGCTAACCTATATCTGCTAAACATGTCTGACGTAATCTTGCGTCATCACAGAGAGTAAAATGGCAAATGGGAGATTGTAGCTTATAAGCTGTTGGTTAATTAACTTAATTGATTTACCGTTTGGAATAAACTATCTGAACCTAATTAAATACTGACTTCGCAAATAATTTATTTTTAACAATATAATACATTTTTTTTGCAAAGTTTGCGTTATAGGTTATTTTTGTTTAAATTTTAGCCTGACCCAACCCTCTCACTTGAGTTACAACTTGACGTGACATTAATCTTGTATCGCAAGTTGACATGACTTAATCTTGTGTCACAACTTGACCCGACTTAATCTTTTGTGACATTTAATCTTGGGTCTTTAATCTAAAGGTAGCGAGCTAGACTGTTAACCCGTACGTCTCGAGTTCGAATCCGGGTTCAAGTCAGTAGACCGTCCCTGCTGGGTACCTAATTCAAGTTAGGGAAAGTAAAGGCGGCTGGGCATAGTGCTGACCATACTATCTCTTCATATGCCGATTTCACAGAAACAAGTTAACTCTACTTCACTTGCCCTATAGACCGTCAGGTTTGAAAAGGAACTTTACTTTTTTTTTACACAAGTTTGTTACCTAACTAAAACAGCACATGTATAAAAAAATTTAAAAATTGGATGTGGCGAAATATGCCCCTGTGGCAAGGCCCCGGAGAATACGGAGCACGTCCTTCAAGAATGTCCATTATATAGCCAGGCGCGATCAAAACACTGGCCCCTACACACACCACTCAAGGAAAAACTATATGGGGCACCTGCTGATCTGGAGACCACAGTCCAGTTCATACATGAATTTGGGCTTGATGTTTAAATCCTCCATCATATACCAAATTGAGAACGAAGAAGAAGAAGAAGTTACCTAACCTAGTGCCCCAAATAAACCTGACCCAACCTAATTTTTGTCCCAGGTTGACCTAACCTAACCCTGATGCAAGTTAAATTAATGTTATCTAACTAACAACACACAAACCTCCCCGACATAGCCTCCAATGTGAGGTAAACAAAATTACTTTGTTACAAGCTTTAAAGCAGTGGTTCCCAACCTTTTTCGAGTGGCGACCCCCTTTTATAAAAAGTAAGTGACCCGCGACCCCCATGGAATTAAAAAGCCGAAATTAGTATGGACATTAATAAGCACTAAAATAAGATTTTCTAGTAGATATTCAATATGAACTACTCTTGATAACTGTTTTAATAGCATGAGTAAAATTGCATACTATTCACTAAACCTTCGTGGTTAACTTTTTAATTAATTTTTTTTGTTAACGCCAACCTATGTCATTATAATTATCTTAATTTTGTTTTTAATCGAAGAATAGTGTTGAAAATATATTCTCGAAAAGTCAATCAATTTTACGTTTGGGTATGAATGGTGAATACTACACCAAAATTGTGTCTGCAGTTTTTCATCTTACTCGGAATCATTCTGCAAATCAAAGAATTCATCTTGTAATTCATCGTGAATGCTGGCAACACCAAGGGAAGAAGACAATGGGTAATGCGTAAATGCAGATTCTACTTTTTTTCAGCTCAGAGAAATGGCGATGCAGTTCGTTTTCAAGAGATTCAAGATGCCCAGAAATCGCTTCTTTCAAAATTTTAATTATCTCACAATCAGATTCATCTACCACACCGCAGAGTTTCTCAAATTTACAATATTTCCAAGATTTATTTTCTTTACCGATTTTGCAGTTTTGATAAAAATGCCCCGAGATTATTATGGAAAGTTATAATATTCGTTCATTTTCCTTGAAGCTTCAGGTTAAGCTTATCTTGATGTTCGAACACATCTGCTAGGTATGATACTCTCTCAACCACTCTATGTCGTTTTAAGTATACCAAAAAGTCTTGTTTCCTTTGAACTTCCAAGAACAATTTGATTTCAGATTTCAATTCAAAAACACAATTAACAACATTTCGCTTGACAGCCAGCGTACTGTAGTGTAGAAGAGCAGAACCTCGTGATCTATATTAATGTTTTTGCTCAGTTCTTTGAAGGCTCCAGATTTTATATAATTTACGACTTATACTAGCAATGGACTCTTGATGTCGATTGGTTAGGGCAGTGATTAGGGAGCTAAATCTTTTCTGTTTTCTGAAAGCCCGATTTTGAGCTAAAGATAGATGGCGCGCCATCCGTACAAACCCCCAGAGCCGTTCTAACCCATTTTAATCATCCAGTTTCAAAAAAGGTATTTATTTTCTCCATGCTATCTTCACAAAAGAGCAACTCTTCTTTGCTATCATCCGCATGAATATAGACACAGACTAGCAACTGCAAACACGAACTCACGTCTGTTGATTTATCAACTTGAAAACAATGGTGAAAGCTTAATTTCAATAAAAATGTGTTATTTAACATTTACGTACATGCAGCGTTTTATGAGATTTTCTCCTATTGTTTTTTTTTTTGCTTGGCATTTTCTATCGCGACTTCATGTGATGCTTGCACTAATGCTGGTGAAAACTTCCTGTTCGATCAAGTCTCTGACGTTTGCAACAAGCTTCTTACCGACGAAAGAACTCCATATAATTTTTGGTGTGTTCCGAATGACTCGTCTCAAATGACGTTTTAGTTTTGAAGATTTCATAGGTTCTTGACAGAGAACAACTTTGTACAGTGCGCTTTGTTTCTTCTCTATTACATTTCTAGTTATGTTAATGAAGCCGAATTTCAAAAATTCTTCTAAATATTTATGTTTTGTTTCAAATTACTAAGGTTTAGTATACCAGTTGGCGACCCCCCCAGAAAGACCTTCGCGACCCCCCTGGCCAGGTTGGGAACCCGTGCTTTAAAGCTTACCACATATACTAGACAGTGCCCCGCGAGTTCAAAGTGAACGTAAAAATCAATATTTAAACATCTATCGATCTCTGATCAAACCTTAATTAATTTGCTTAAGTTTTGAAAATAACTCTTTACTTCCTAAATACTTTGTGTATTTTATTTTAAATTTTCATACATGTATTTAATCTATTAGTGAAATTAATTTAAATATAAAGTAAAAAATCTTTTCTATTTGTTTAAAATAGATTCAGCTTTACATTATAAAAAATTCATTACCCTAATTAATTAACCCTTAATTAACCTGCTTTCCTTTAATAGCCAATATTACTCCTATTTTCACCTATTTTCGTGTAAGGAGGGGTTACCAAGGGCGATTGTAAACAAATTTTGTTCACCTGTGCTGGGTAACAAAGACAAGAAAAGAAAATAATCATCACAAAATGAGGACACTGCTAATTAACTAAAACTAAAACGATCCCAAACCCCTCCCTATCATGTAGGTTGTTTTAAAAAGTTAAGTTCATGTGCACTAGGATTACAGGTCTACAGGAGTTACCTTTACAATCCCCCCTCTTTACTTATTAATGGTCATGGCTGATTACACTCTTGTTATACAGAATTAGAAATATCACATTAATTGCTTGACACCATACTGTTCCGTACGTCAATCCCGGTTTTAAAATGCACTTTGCCATTTTTAGCGTGCTTCCCCAACAATTCACCAACATAACAACGATAAATAATTAGATGGAATAATTTTTAGAATAATTTGTTTAATTAAAAAAGCATGCTATCATATACGATGGTACGCAAAAAAATAATTATCTATTTTGAGGCTACTAAAGCATAAAATAATATCACAATTTATATATAAAAAAAACTACAACTTTGCTGATCAAAATGTTGTGCATATTTCTGAAATGTAGGCCTATACTAAATATCTAATTATCACTACAAATATGAATTATAATTTCATACTAGGAATTGACCATGCTATTTGATTTGAAAAAAAAAATCTTTTAATTTAAGCTTAAACTGCAAATATTTATATACTAGATGATTTCGCCCGACGTGAACCAAATACAACGGTGGCAAAATATTATTGGAATTATATCAATTATCTGGAAAGTTATAAAACAGCAAATTTGTTTAGAGGCTGTGTCATCACTTCCACAACGTTCGTTTAAAATTGTGTTTAGTTTTAATTTTTTCGTTTCACAAGCTGTAGGTGAACGTTACATAAACTAAAATGGTGGATTCCAAAGCACTTGATTTAATTAAAAACAAATATACATACGTGTGTAACAGTAAAAATTTTAATTAAAACATTCCATAGAAACTGAGCGTAAAAGTCATACTAACATATTATACTTTATTTCAATGGGTTTTGAAAGTAATATCAACAAAGCTAGTAGTGTAACAGTATCTATCTATCTTCTTCTATATATATAATTCTCTTCTGGGAGACGCTAGAAAACAAGCTGTAAACGCGCTCCCTACCACCCCCACCCCTACATGGTCTGGTGAGCTGTGGTTCACTCTAAATTCTAAATGTTTATAAACAGAGCCGGGTTTAGGGACGACTATTAGGGGCAGATAATTTAGTTTGAAACGATTTTAAACGTGTGGGGGGGGGGGGGGGGTAACTAAGTGGAGTTTACTTTAACGGGGTGGGGGGGGGGGGGGGGGGGTTATCGTCCTTAACGAGCTACTTATAGTGTTTTTTCAGTGGCAGCGTTGGTAGTGTCGAATTCACAAATTATGAATTACTGAAAAGTAGAAAAAACAACAACTAAGTAGCGGCTTATGATATGCCGCGGGTCGGCTCGTGAAATTTGTTTCTATTTTTACCTCAGCACAGAGACTGATAGATCGAACAGTGAAACTTTTCTAGGAATACACATGTGTGTTTTAGAGGAATCATTCAATCTATTCTATATTTTTGTAAGAAAATAAGTTTTAATACCAAAGCAAAATTATTTTTTTTTGTTAAAAAGTTACATTTTAAAAATGATATAAAATAACAGAATTACAAGCAATTAAAAATTACAATATGCTGTTCAAAATATTTACAACTTTGTATTAAAATAATTGTAACCCCCCTCTCTTTATTGATAAAAAAAATAATGAGTCAGATTGTAAAGGATGGAAACATTAAAATTCTATATGCAGACAATAAATATTTTAAAAATTAAATTGCTGTATTTCGCAGGAGAGGAGTATTTTGAAATTTAGTATACATAATTTAGAAAAAAAAGGAAAATTAAAAACAAATTCCAGATAGGTTCGGATATGTTTCATACGCTTGCTACTTAAATGACCCAATGGGAATCTAGCTTTTAAATTACACATATAGCTGTACTTTATAATCGTGGTTATGTTTTATTTTATGGTGTAGGGTAGTTGTTTTCATTTTATATTGTATAGGGATAAAACTGTACAAATTCAGTCAAGCGAAGCGGCCTGTATGGAGCGTGATGCCTCAGGCTTTTGAGTATTGTGGGGCGCCGTACCCTGCTTGCCCGTATTGTGGGGCGCCGTACCCTGCTTGACCTGGCTGTGGGGCGCCGTACCCTGCTTGACCTGACTGTGGGGCGCCATACGCTGGTAACATGTACGTGGGGTTGACGCCGGACTGTGAACTTTGTTGGGTAACTTGAGTGACAGAAATTCCGTGAAAGTCAGGTTGCATTGTCACGTAGGGAATCGAATGGTCCTGAAAAAATGTATGTTATTATTTAATAAAACAAATATTAAAAATCTTTCTAACAAGCTTTTAAATGCACAGAAAATAAGAAAATAAAACTGATTGCTTTCTTTCATAAACGCTTCAGGCGCTGAAATATGTGAACGATTTCTCGGGAGATAACAGTTAACACATGATACTTAATAGTGTTGGGGGGGGGGGGGAATTCTTCCAACACTAGTTGGGGGGGGGCGGGAATCCCTTCCAACACTAGCATTAAAACAAAGAGGGATAGGTAACCAATGTTGATTGGTGGAAAAAGTTTTTGCTAATGTAAATATTTAGGCTGATATCTGCAAAACCAATGTTTTAGAATACACTATCAAAATATGAGAATTTCCGTAACAATACCCAAGGTGGAGGACATGAAAACTAGGTCGTGTAAGTGTTACTGGGGAAGGGGGGAGAGGGAAGTTGAACTTTCGTGACCAACTGCTGCATTAAGGAGGGGGGGGGGAATGTAATAATGAGTTCCCTTGTCTGTCATAACACAGCCTGTATTTATCTCCCTGTTGACGTGGTTGAATAGGATTATACAAATACCAGCATGTCAAGACCTTCTACGTTGCACAATTATTACGACACAGGACCCAATACACACCACCAGAATATTCCAAACATTGTATTTTTATAACTGTCTACGCTTCAACGACGCCTGAACGATGTGGCCTTTTATGAAGAACACGTAGCATAAGTAATGTGACACATTGAACTAAGTCTGTGTTCGTCTATAGCTCCAGCTCAAAACATGGGTTATATCCCTTTTGTTGATTACAGTTTTTAAGTCTCGGTTCAAGGCCTTTGCAATACGAGCTTTGAATAACAATTCAGCTTTAACAAAGGATTGTTGTTGTTTTGATAAGGGGAACGGTAAAGGGTATGTGTTGCTATGTGTATCAGCACAAGAGGTATAACACGACTTATCTGTGTAGTACAGGTATACCATAGCTTACCTTGGTAGTACAGGTATACCATAGCTTACCTTGGTAGTACAGGTATACCATAGCTTACCTTGGTAGTACATGTATACCATAGCTTACCTTGGTAGTACAGGTATACCATAGCTTACCTTGGTAGTACAGGTATACCATAGCTTACCTTAGTAGAACAGGTATACCATAGCTTACCTTGATAGTACAGGTATACCATAGCTTACATTGGTAGTACAGGTATACCATAGCTTACCTTGGTAGTACAGGTATACCATAGCTTACCTTGGTAGTACAGGTATACCATAGCTTACCTTGGTAGTACAGGTATACCATAGCTTACCTTGGTAGTACAGGTATACCATAGCTTACCTTGGTAGTACAGGTATACCATAGCTTACATTGGTAGTACAGGTATACCATAGCTTACATTGGCAGTACAGGTATACCATAGCTTACCTTGGTAGTACAGGTATCACATAGCTTACCTTGTTAGTACAGGTATACCATAGCTTACCTTGGTAGTACAGGTATACCATAGCTTACATTGGTAGTACAGGTATACCATAGCTTACATTGGTAGTACAGGTATACCATAGCTTACCTTGGTAGTACAGGTATACCATAGCTTACCTTAGTAGAACACGTATACCATAGCTTACCTTGGTAGTACAGGTATACCATAGCTTACCATGGTAGTAAAGGTATAATATAGCTTACCTTGGTAGTACATGTATACCATAGCTTCCCTTAGTAGTACAGGTATACCATAGCTTACCTTGGTAGAACAGGTATACCATAGCTTACCTTAGTAGAACAGGTATACCATAGCTTACCTTAGTAGAACAGGTATACCATAGCTTACCTTAGTAGAACAGGTATACCATAGCTTACCTTAGTAGAACAGGTATACCATAGCTTACCTTGGTAGTACAGGTATACCATAGCTTACCTTAGTAGAACAGGTATACCATAGCTTACATTGATAGTACAGGTATACCATAGCTTACCTTGATAGTACAGGTATACCATAGCTTACATTGGTAGTACAGGTATACCATAGCTTACCTTGGTAGTACAGGTATACCATAGCTTACCTTGGTAGTACAGGTATACCATAGCTTACATTGGTAGTACAGGTATACCATAGCTTACATTGGCAGTACAGGTATACCATAGCTTACCTTGGTAGTACAGGTATCACATAGCTTACATTGGTAGTACAGGTATACCATAGCTTACATTTGTAGTACAGGTATACCATAGCTTACCTTAGTAGAACAGGTATACCATAGCTTACATTGGTAGTACAGGTATACCATAGCTTACCTTGGTAGTACAGGTATACCATAGCTTACCTTGGTAGTACAGGTATACCATAGCTTACATTGGTAGTACAGGTATACCATAGCTTACCTTGGCAGTACAGGTATACCATAGCTTACCTTGGTAGTACAGGTATCACATAGCTTACCTTGTTAGTACAGGTATACCATAGCTTACTTTGGTAGTACAGGTATACCATAGCTTACATTGGTAGTACAGGTATACCATAGCTTACCTTAGTAGAACAGGTATACCATAGCTTACCTTGGTAGTACAGGTATACCATAGCTTACCTTAGTAGAACAGGTATACCATAGCTTACATTGGTAGTACAGGTATACCATAGCTTACCTTGGTAGTACAGGTATATCATAGCTTACCTTAGTAGAACAGGTATACCATAGCTTACCTTGGTAGTACAGGTATACCATAGCTTACCTTAGTAGAACAGGTATACCATAGCTTACCTTAGTAGAACAGGTATACCATAGCTTACCTTGGTAGTACAGGTATACCATAGCTTACCTTAGTAGAACAGGTATACCATAGCTTACCTTAGTAGAACAGGTATACCATAGCTTACCTTGGTAGTACAGGTATACCATAGCTTACCTTAGTAGAACAGGTATACCATAGCTTACATTGATAGTACAGGTATACCATAGCTTACCTTGATAGTACAGGTATACCATAGCTTACATTGGTAGTACAGGTATACCATAGCTTACCTTGGTAGTACAGGTATACCATAGCTTACCTTGGTAGTACAGGTATACCATAGCTTACATTGGTAGTACAGGTATACCATAGCTTACATTGGCAGTACAGGTATACCATAGCTTACCTTGGTAGTACAGGTATCACATAGCTTACATTGGTAGTACAGGTATACCATAGCTTACATTGGTAGTACAGGTATACCATAGCTTACCTTAGTAGAACAGGTATACCATAGCTTACATTGGTAGTACAGGTATACCATAGCTTACCTTGGTAGTACAGGTATACCATAGCTTACCTTGGTAGTACAGGTATACCATAGCTTACATTGGTAGTACAGGTATACCATAGCTTACCTTGGCAGTACAGGTATACCATAGCTTACCTTGGTAGTACAGGTATCACATAGCTTACCTTGTTAGTACAGGTATACCATAGCTTACTTTGGTAGTACAGGTATACCATAGCTTACATTGGTAGTACAGGTATACCATAGCTTACCTTAGTAGAACAGGTATACCATAGCTTACCTTGGTAGTACAGGTATACCATAGCTTACCTTAGTAGAACAGGTATACCATAGCTTACATTGGTAGTACAGGTATACCATAGCTTACCTTGGTAGTACAGGTATATCATAGCTTACCTTAGTAGAACAGGTATACCATAGCTTACCTTGGTAGTACAGGTATACCATAGCTTACCTTAGTAGAACAGGTATACCATAGCTTACCTTAGTAGAACAGGTATACCATAGCTTACCTTGGTAGTACAGGTATACCATAGCTTACCTTAGTAGAACAGGTATACCATAGCTTACCTTAGTAGAACAGGTATACCATAGCTTACCTTGGTAGTACAGGTATACCATAGCTTACCTTAGTAGAACAGGTATACCATAGCTTACATTGGTAGTACAGGTATACCATAGCTTACCTTGGTAGTACAGGTATACCATAGCTTACCTTAGTAGAACAGGTATACCATAGCTTACCTTAGTAGAACAGGTATACCATAGCTTACCTTGGTAGTACAGGTATACCATAGCTTACCTTAGTAGAACAGGTATACCATAGCTTACCTTAGTAGAACAGGTATACCATAGCTTACCTTGATAGTACAGGTATACCATAGCTTACCTTGGTAGTACAGGTATACCATAGCTTACCTTAGTAGAACAGGTATACCATAGCTTACATTAGAATTCAGTGGGTATAACAAACCCTAGCACAACAGCTATAACATACCCTTTCACAATAGTTATAACATACCCTTTCACAATAGTTTTAACATACCCTAGCACAGCAGGTGTAGTAACAGCACAAGACGAACTCAGCGAATAAAACAATCCAGGTAACGATGTTCATGACGAACATCGCGATGTAGATTCTGGAAAATTGCTCGAAATACTCGCAGGGTTTATGAATGGTGATAATAGTTTCGCCTTCATCACTGAAAACACAACACATTAAAACATCAGCTATAACAGCAATAGCAGCTATAACAGCAATAACAGCAATAACTGCAATAACAACAATAACAACAATACCACGGAGCAGGATAAAAGGAAACAATGCATGGATTACATTTGATGTAAGGCGTCGAGGTGTAAAATACAATGGCACCCACCTGCAGACGCACTTGTCCTCACTAGTTTGGCATTTGGTATGGAAAAGTTGTACGACTGTATTAACGCCTTGAATTCCAACGCCAAGGACTATAATAATAATAGCCATGGTAATGATCGCCAGGATGCCGAAAACCAATGCTGTCACATACTGAAATATATATATATATATATATATATATATATATATATATATATATATATATATATATATATATATAGTGTGTGTGTATGTGTGTGTATATGTACATTTTGTGTCCTACAACAATAATTTACACAAAAAACTCACCATACATTTGTTCTGGACAAAAGCGGCGATACAGCCAAGAATCCCAGGGACTATGAACTGTAAACAAAGTTCAAATCTCAGTCAAGGTCACAACACACTATTATATCAGATGAATGCTACCCTCAACTGCTTTCTTAATGTGTTATTTTATTAATCCTAATCATCAAACACAGGTAACAGGTAGGAAATGACTTACCACAAAGCCAAAAATCCAAAATGGGAAGAGTGTAACGTATTTATAGGCATCCCAATCGCGTGAATTACTGACTTCAACAAGAGAGCTATCGTAAGGAAAAGCCAAAAGGACAGCAAAAATTATCCCTGAAAAACAAACGACAAAAACTACAATTTTCCAAAGATTTTGTTAGCTTTAAGTTAGTTGTGAGAGTATTATTTGAAATGTAACGTAAAACAAGTTATTAAAAAAAGTCTAGTGACAATTTTAGCGCAATTTCCTTATGTTAACTAAAAATAGCTCTGTCGTAGCGTAAATCAAGAGCAGGGTTAGTAAAACCATTGGTTAGTTATTAAAACGTTTTTTATTAATTTTTTTTTCAGTATTTTACATGTTTTATTTACAATAGAGTAACATGACTAAAAATCAATTGCGCGCCTAGCTACCGATCGTGATGTCGCAGCCATTGAACGTGATGGCGCAGCTATTGAACGTGATGACGCGTGTGGTGTGGTTGCATAAAATGCCTACTAATTCGGTCCAAATTTTAATTAATTCAAAAAAATTTTTGTGACCAAACGAAAGGATATTTTTGAAAACTTTCTACGGCAATATTGTTCTAAATTATGGCAGGAATCGATTGGTACATGTTTCAAGTCGCTAAGTGGTCTGGTTGCCGAGATATGGGCCAAAAACTGCATTTTTTCGAGGTTTTTTGGCTTTTCTGGGAAATCCATGAAAGAAACCCGGAATTTTTATGGCCTATGTTCATCCTCGTAACTTGCTTAACATAATTGTTTTTGTAACTAGTCATCGATATTGCTTCGTTGAGGAGGAGATACGACTTAAAGCTGCGGACACACATCCATACATTCATCCATCCATCCATCCATCCATCCAGAAATGACGGGTTAATAAACGCAATTCTCCAGAATGGAAATTGCGCTAAAAAAAAACAGTGCATAATAGTGCGCAATATTATTAGTACTTTAAAAATTTACATTAGTTTTTTGAGAAATCGGAAGTAGCGTAAATTACTACTTCCGGTCAACGGAAATTACTCAAAATTTAACAGAAGGTAGTGAATTAGATCTTTTACTTACATGTTAAATTTCATTTATCTATCTGAAATAGTACTCAAGTTATAGGCTTTTGAAAAATTCAAAGTAGGAAAAGTACCACTTCCGGTTATCGGAAATCGCTCAAAAGTTGATACGGATCTACGATTTTGATTAAATACTTATATATGAAATTTCATCAACCTAGCTGTAACGGTACTCAAGTTATCGTGTTTACACACGGACACACACACACACACACACACACACACACACACACACACACACACACACACACAGACAGACACACAGACATACGGACAAGATTGCAAAATTATGTTTTTCCGTATCAGTGAGGTGTAAAACGTCGAGATTTGTAAAAATCTCTATTTTTTTTTTGCACGATTACAAGACTTTCTCTATACTTTGTATATACGAGAAAGTAAAAATGTATCAATCAAAATTACATGCTCTTAGATTCACTTTCTATTAGCACGAAGCTCCTTCTTATTCCTTTATGTCGGTGCTTTATGAGTTAAGTTTTTCTAAACCATCTGAGTACAAACAACGTCAGTAATCTACACGAAACAAACTTTTTTTCACACATATTTTCTATAAAATCAGCATAAAATGTCGAGTAGAGAAAAACTTTCAACTTGCCCTTATCTCACAAATTTAATCGCTTAATAATAATCATTAAAAAAGTTTTAAAAAACCCACGTTTTCTGATTGAACTAAAAAGTAGAAAATAAATACTATACATCACAATAATGCAAGCGATCACTCTACTATAAGCGATGAAAAACGTGGGGCGCCGAAGTAAAAGTTATATTACTATTGATTAGATAATACTATTGACTTTTATTAGGGAGCTTGTAGAGAGTCAACAGTATTAGAAACTGTAAGAAAATCACGGCGCCCCACGTTTTTGATAGCTTATAGTAGAGTGATCGCTTGCATTATTGTGATGTATAGTATTTATTTTCTACTTTTTAGTTCAATCAGAAAACGTGGGTTTTTAAAAACTTTTTTAATGATTATTATTTTCTACTTTTTAGTGTTTGTCTGTTTGTTTGCATGTAAATCTTGCTATCGATTTTATCTTTTCACTTTTTTTTTGGGTAAACGAAGACAACTCGTAAAAAGACAACTCGTAAAAAGACAACTCGTAAAAAACACGTTGTGTGAATACGTTACTGACTAGAACACATAGATTTGAACCCGTGTCAAGTGGGTTAGCAATCGTGTGCCCAACCACTCGACCATATCGTCTCCCCGATACTGGCCACCAGTTGTTACGTTATGGTTGTTTGTACACAAACACAGCGTGACAACTACTCAGTAAGCAAAAAGAGGGGGAGTGCCGAACCTTGTTTTCATCAAATTACAGTTACTGGGTAATGTCCCTTTTCCCCCACGTTTTTTGGTACAATTATATAGCGGTCTAAAATGATCAATAAAATGTTTCCATGGATTAATTTAGTAATAAAAACAATAGAATATTCAATTGTCATCCAAAACAAAGCTTCCCTGAAAATTTCAGCGCGCTAGCTAACTGGGAAGTGCCAGAAATTTCGATCGCAAGATTGGATTGGAAAGACAAACACACAGAGAAAGCAAGTTAAAGAAAACGTGGGAAAAATATCCAACTACTTTTAAACATTATGACGATATAAAAGTCGTCAGTAATGACTTCACTTTAAAGCTTTAAAACAGTGGTTCCCAACCTTTTTCGAGTGGCGACCCCCTTTTATAAAAAGTAAGTGACCCGCGACCCCCATGGAATTAAAAAGCCGAAATTAGTATGGAAATTAATAACCACTAAAATAAGATTTTCTAGTAGATATTCAATATGAACTACTCTTGATAACTGTTTTAATAGCATGAGTAAAATTGCATACTATTCACTAAACCTTCGTGGTTAACTTTTTAATTAATTTTTTTTTGTTAACGCCAACCTATGTCATTATAATTATCTTAATTTTGTTTTTAATCGAAGAATAGTGTTGAAAATATATTCTCGAAAAGTCAATCAATTTTACGTTTGGGTATGAATGGTGAATACTACACCAAAATTGTGTCTGCAGTTTTTCATCTTACTCGGAATCATTCTGCAAATCAAAGAATTCATCTTGTAATTCATCGGGAATGCTGACAACATCAAGGGAAGAAGACAATGGGTAATGCGTAAATGCAGATTCTACTTTTTTTCAGCTCAGAGAAATGGCGATGCAGTTCGTTTTCAAGAGATTCAAGATGCCCAGAAATCGCTTCTTTCAAAATTTTAATTATCTCACAATCAGATTCATCTACCACACCGCAGAGTTTCTCAAATTTACAATATTTCCAAGATTTGTTTTCTTTACCGATTTTGCAGTTTTGATAAAAATGCCCCGAGATTATTATGGAAAGTTATAATATTCGTTCATTTTCCTTGAAGCTTCAGGTTAAGCTTATCTTGATGTTCGAACACATCTGCTAGGTATGATACTCTCTCAACCACTCTATGTCGTTTTAAGTATACCAAAAAGTCTTGTTTCCTTTGAACTTCCAAGAACAATTTGATTTCAGATTTCAATTCAAAAACACAATTAACAACATTTCGTTTGACAGCCAGCGTACTGTAGTGTAGAAGAGCAGAACCTCGTGATCTATATTAATGTTTTTGCTCAGTTCTTTGAAGGCTCCAGATTTTATATAATTTACGACTTATACTAGCAATGGACTCTTGATGTCGATTGGTTAGGGCATTGGTTAGGGAGCTAAATCTTTTCTGTTTTCTGAAAGCCCGATTTTGAGCTAAAGATAGATGGCGCGCCATCCGTACAAACCCCCAGAGCCGTTCTAACCCATTTTAATCATCCAGTTTCAAAAAAGGTATTTATTTTCTCCATGCTATCTTCACAAAAGAGCAACTCTTCTTTGCTATCATCCGCATGAATATAGACACAGACTAGCAACTGCAAACACGAACTCCCGTCTGTTGATTTATCAACTTGAAAACAATGGTGAAAGCTTAATTTAATTTCAATAAAAATGTGTTATTTAACATTTACGTACATGCAGCGTTTTATGAGATTTTCTCCTATTGTTTTTTTTTGCTTGGCATTTTCTATCGCGACTTCATTTGATGCTTGCACTAATCCTGGTGAAAACTTCCTGCTCGATCAAGTCTCTGACGTTTGCAACAAGCTTCTTACCGTCGAAAGAACTCCATATATTTTTTGGTGTGTTCCGAATGACTCGTCTCAAATGACGTTTTAGTTTTGAAGATTTCATAGGTTTTTGACAGAGAACAACTTTGTACAGTGCGCTTTGTTCCTTTTCTATTACATTTTTAGTTATGTTAATGAAGCCGAATTTCAAAAATTCTTCTAAATATTTATGTTTTGTTTCAAATTACTAAGGTTTAGTATACCAGTTGGCGACCCCCCCAGAAAGACCTTCGCGACCCCCCTGGGGGTCGCGACCCCCAGGTTGGGAACCCGTGGTTTAAAAAATAAAATAACGTCTTTCCTTGACCTCATATGAGATGGGTTGCATCCATTCAGTGGCGTCGCTAGGTAGGGTGTCACCCGGTGCGGCACCTCATTGTGTCACCCCACCAACAAACACCCAAGGAAAAAAAGTATAGGACACACACGCACACACACACATATAGGCCTATAAATAATTGTAATTAGTGTCACCCCCCCCCAATATTTGCCAAATGGCGTGAAGTTTTGCACTCATTATTTTAATCCAACTATAATTTAAGCGGAAAAAAAACGTTTTCATAGCACATTATTTTATGTGGAATCACATACTTTTTAACTCTAATTAATCATTCATTGAGCTGGCATAAAGCATGTTTCTTCTATATATTTTGCAATGTTTTGTCTTGGTGTCACCCCCCCCCCCCCATACACCGTCCGCACCCCGCCTCGCGACGCCTCTGCATCCATTGACTACATAAAACTACTTCGATTTTTTGACCACACATAATTATTTACAGCCGCTGACATAAAAGTGCTCAATGCCACTAAGCTGATATGAAACGACTTACCCCCAACAATAACAAATCCGGACAAACAGCCCAGAGAGACAGCCCTGTTTTTAATCATTCTCACAGCCAACTTGAAGTCTTCTCAAGTTCAATCAATATCTGAACAAACACAAAAAAAAGTTTATTTGAAGAATTAGAGCTTAAATATCTTGTACAATTCACACAAGTATAAACAAAAGCATATTACTGCTTGTGAAAATACATATAAAAAGATACCCAAAACTGAATCTTACTTTGATACAAATCTGAAGTCCTCTTGTGAACAATCCTCCTCCAGGCGACTTGGTGTGTATGCGGATGTAACCAGAGCTACCGAACATTCAGCAATAACAACTTGACACGCAGCTAGAGTTGTCTAACCTTATGCATACTTCTCGCCAAGTGGTTCCCAACCTGGGCTTGATCCAACCCCAGGGGTTCGGTGAGTCAGTTTCGGGGTTCGGCGAAGGTCAAGACATACACCAGTCAGTGGCGGAACTAGAAAAAAGGGGCCACCCCGCAAAATTTTTTTTAGGCCCCCCCCCCTCCATATAAATATATAGGCCTATATATGTATATATGTATATATGTATATATATATATATATATATATATATATATATATATATGTATATATATATATATATATGTATATATATATATATATATATATATATATATATATATATATATATATATATATATATATATATATATATATATATATATATATATATATATATATATATATATATATATATATATATATATATATATATATATATATATATATATATATATATATATATATATACTCAAACACAACATACGAACATACAATTCGTGTTATGAGAAATACGTAGTTTTTTATTTTTATTTTATTAAAACAAATTACAACATCATGTCATGAGTGTAAGTGCATTAGTCTGTTTTGTGAAAATCCGTTTTATATTATCTCTGCCGTACGACATTAAACCTCATGTCGGTCAAAAGAATATAAAACATGAAAGCTTTCTGTAAATAATGGTGTCTCGTGTCATGTTTATTTTTATGTTTTTTTTTTGTATTTATTTTATTAATTTTAAATACATTTTCTTTTTATACAGTGTCATTCTTTAGTAAGTAATTTATAAACAAATAATAATAAAGAGAAGTAATTGCTTTTTAATTTGTTTAGTACAAATCTATTAAAAAGAGGGTATGAGCATCACTATTTGACTATTTACAAAAGGGAAATAAGTCATGGAAGTGGTTTGAACGTTTGCTTATCTTTGATAAGTTTCATTGTAGTAGAAAGTGGACTCGGCTTTCACAGTGGTTAAAAACGAAGGAAAAATGAGCGTGGGGTGGTGTCTATAGAATAAAGATAATCCAACCGCAGCTACGGTAATCTTTTTTACAAAACAAACATTAGGTAAAAAAGGCAAGAACATTTTTTTTAACTATAACAATTTTTTTATGGTCTGCCGTGGGCCCCTAAATGGCGTGATCCCACCCGCATTGCGGGGTCTGGCGGCACTGTAGTTCCGCCCATGACACCAGTCTCCCGATCTGATATTTTCAGTGTGGGCGATACAACTATTAATTAAGAAGGGTTCGGTGAATGCGCATATATAACTGGTGTGGTTCGATACCCCCAAGAAAGTTAAGAACCGCTGCTTTAGAGTGTAGATCTCTGCTGGTTTTGATTCATGGAAAATGAGTCAAGCTTGAGAATACGTTCTTGTTTCAGTTTTGTAGTCTAGTTAAAGCAAGCAAGTTTCTTCAGGTATAGAGTTGAGAGCAGTGTCGAGATCAGTGAACAGGTTTAGAGACCTTACTGTAAGGAATATTTGGCATAGGATAATGTGATCTAATCTAGACACATCTTAATTACTAGGATAATCTGATCTAATCTAGACACATCTCAATTACTAGGATAATCTGATATAATCTAATCTAGACACATCTTAATTACTAGGATAATCTGATCTAATCTAGAAACATCTTAATTGGTTTAATTATAGTGTTGTTGTGTTTCGACATATAAAATTATTGCATTGAAAGTTACAATTCTAGAACCATTAACAAAAAACGACTTGTATCTATCTTCTATTTTACTAGATAATCGACCCACTGATGAAGAAATACAACGGGCACATCGCTGGTAGTGTCCCCCCCCCTCTAAAGTGAAACCAAAACCAAAATCCCAAACTTAAACTCAACCTAAACCTAAAGGCCAGTTTAAACGAAAACAGCTGACAATTAACAGGAAGCGGACATTTAAAAGGAGACCTCCCCCCCCCAGCCCACACCTCCCACACCTCCCCCCAGCCCACACCTCCCCCCAGCCCACACCTCCCACCAGTCCACACCTCCCACCAGTCCACACCTCCCACCAGCACACACCTCCCACCAGCCCACACCTCCCACCAGTCCACACCTCCCACCAGCCCACACCTCCCACCAGCCCACACCTCCCACCAGCCCACACCTCCCACCAGCCCACACCTCCCCCCAGCCCACACCTCCCACCAGTCCACACCTCCCCCAGCCCACACCTCCCTCCCACCAGCCCACACCTCCCACCAGTCCACACCTCCCCCAGCCCACACCTCCCACCAGCCCACACCTCCCCCCAGCCCACACCTCCCACCAGCCCACACCTCCCACAAGCCCACACCTCCCACACCTCCCACCAGCCCACACCTCCCCCCAAGCCCACACCTCCCACCAGCCCACACCTCCCCCCAGCCCACACCTCCCACCAGTCCACATCTCCCACCAGTCCACACCTCCCACCAGCACATACCTCCCACCAGCCCACACCTCCCACCAGTCCACACCTCCCCCAGCCCACACCTCCCTCCCACCAGCCCACACCTCCCACCAGTCCACACCTCCCCCAGCCCACACCTCCCACCAGCCCACACCTCCCACCAGCCCACACCTCCCCCCAGCCCACACCTCCCCCCAGCCCACACCTCCCACAAGCCCACACCTCCCACACCTCCCACCAGCCCACACCTCCCACCAGCCCACACCTCCCACCAGCCCACACCTCCCACCAGCCCACACCTCCCACCAGCCCACACCTCCCACCAGCCCACACCTCCCACACCACCCCCCAGCCCACACCTCCCACAAGCCCACACCTTCCACACCTCCCACCAGCCCACACCTCCCCCCAGCCCACACCTCCCACAAGCCCACACCTCCCACACTTCCCACCAGTCCACACCTCCCACCAGCCCACACCTCCCACCAGCCCACACCTCCTACCAGCCCACACCTCCCACCAGCCCACACCTCCCACACCTCCCCCCAGCCCACACCTCCCACAAGCCCACACCTCCCACACCTCCCCCCAGCCCACACCTCCCACACCTCCCACCAGCCCAGACCTCCCACCAGCCCACACCTCCCACACCTCCCCCAGCCCACACCTCCCACCAGCCCACACCTCCCACCAGCCCACACCTACCACCAGCCCACACCTCCCACACCTCCCCCCAGCCCACACCTCCCACCAACCCACACCTCCCACACCTCCCACCAACCGACACCTCCCACCAGCCCACACCTCCCACCAGCCCACACCTCCCACCAGCCCACACCTCCCACCAGCCCACACCTCCCACCAGCCCACACCTCCCACCAGCCCACACCTCCCACCAACCCACACCTCCCACCAGTCCACACCCCCCTCCCACCAGTCCACACCTCCCTCCCACCAGTCCACACCTCCCACCAGCCCACACCTCCCTCCCACCAGCCCACACCTCCCTCCCACCAGCCCACACCTCCCACCAGTCCACACCCCCTCCCACCACTCCACACCCCCCTCCCACCAGTCCACACCTCCCACCATCCCACACCTCCCTCCCACCAGCCCACACCTCCCTCCCACCAGCCCACACCTCCCTCCCACCAGCCCACACCTCCCTCCCACCAGCCCACACCTCCCTCCCACCAGCCCACACATCCCTCTCACCAGCCCACACCTCCCTCCCACCAGCCCACACATCCCTCCCACCAGCCCACACCTCCCTCCCACCAGCCCACACATCCCTCCCACCAGCCCACACCTCCCTCCCACCAGTCCACACCTCCCTCCCACCAGCCCACACCTCCCTCCCACCAGCCCACACCTCCCTCCCACCAGCCCACACCTCCCACCAGTTCACACCTCCCTCCCACCAGTCCACACCTCCCACCAGCACACACCTCCCTCCCACCAGCCCACACCTCCCTCCCACCAGCCCACACCTCCCACCAGTTCACACCTCCCACCAGCACACACCTCCCTCCCACCAGCCCACACCTCCCTCCCACCAGCCCACACCTCCCACCAGTTCACACCTCCCACCAGCACACACCTCCCTCCCACCAGCCCACACCTCCCACCAGTTCACACCTCCCACCAGCACACACCTCCCACCAGCACACACCTCCCTCCCACCAGCACACACCTCCCACCAGTCCACACCTCCCACCAGCACACACCTCCCTCCCACCAGCCCACACCTCCCTCCCACCAGCCCACACATCCCTCTCACCAGCCCACACCTCCCTCCCACCAGCCCACACATCCCTCCCACCAGCCCACACCTCCCTCCCACCAGCCCACACATCCCTCCCACCAGCCCACACCTCCCTCCCACCAGTCCACACCTCCCTCCCACCAGCCCACACCTCCCTCCCACCAGCCCACACCTCCCTCCCACCAGCCCACACCTCCCACCAGTTCACACCTCCCTCCCACCAGTCCACACCTCCCACCAGCACACACCTCCCTCCCACCAGCCCACACCTCCCTCCCACCAGCCCACACCTCCCACCAGTTCACACCTCCCACCAGCACACACCTCCCTCCCACCAGCCCACACCTCCCTCCCACCAGCCCACACCTCCCACCAGTTCACACCTCCCACCAGCACACACCTCCCTCCCACCAGCCCACACCTCCCACCAGTTCACACCTCCCACCAGCACACACCTCCCACCAGCACACACCTCCCTCCCACCAGCACACACCTCCCACCAGTCCACACCTCCCACCAGCACACACCTCCCTCCCACCAGCCCACACCTCCCTCCCACCAGTCCACACCTCCCACCAGTTCACACCTCCCTCCCACCAGTTCACACCTCCCTACCACCAGCCCACACCTCCCTCCCACCAGCCCACACCTCCCACCAGTTTACACCTCCCTCCCACCAGTCCACACCTCCCACCAGCCCACACCTCCCTCCCACCAGCCCACACCTCCCTCCCACCAGCACACACCTCCCACCAGTCCACACCTCCCACCAGTCCACACCTCCCTCCCACCAATCCACACCTCCCTCCCACCAGCCCACACCTCCCACCAGTTCACACCT